GAGTCGAACTCCGCCCGGACCTTCCACGCTCCGTCAACCCGCAGTCTGACGTATACAATTGGAAGCACGAGCATCACTTATCCCTGTCGAGAACACAATCGTAGAGCCAAGTTACTGGGTATTCAACACGGCCAATTCATCAATGCGGAACCAGCCCTCAGATGGTGGCATCACTGCCACAACTATGACGAGTTTGCTACATGGGTCATCCTGACAGACCCCGACCACAGGGTCACCTGGACCCAGGAACATGCCTTGATCAGTATTTATCAGCCGTCCTCAATTGGCCTTATATTCATCGGCGATATAAGCGCATCTCCACTGGCTACACGGCCACCAGGTTCCTTGCAGAACAACCCTGGTACAAATTCGGCAAACGCCTTTTCCTCCGTTTGCGCAGAAGGAGCTGCACAGTCTACGGCAGGAACTTTCATCGAGTGGCGCTCAAACACACCCAAGCCTGGTCCATCATTGCTCGTCTCACCTCGGAGCACATTGAATCCTGGGAGGAGGAAAAGCGACTTCGTAGCGGACGGCATTCGGACTTGGACATCTATGCTATATACAGGCTGTCTGGAAATGTGGAACAGCCTCATCGGTTCTTCGACGAGTTCTCGATTTCCGTCAACTTCAGCAACCCCGCATCAACTTGTTATTGCGATTACCGTGGCTGTCCCACCCACATTATCAACGGTCCACCAGAGAAGTGCTTCGTCGTCTCGTCCTCGACCACCGCAACTGGGCACTTCCGTTCCACTTGCCCAGTACGAAGCTGGCAGAGACTCCTCATCCTCGAGTCCACACAGTCATGTGGAACTTCTTGTCGTTTCAGGACTGCTAACTCCTTGACATCTCCAGGACCATCCTCGTGTCAATGCGCAGCCTGGCTAAAACGTCAGCCCTGGCTATCTCACGTTCACGGCCATGTGGCAGCAGGATTAGATGAGTTCCGGTTTTCCGGAACCCCCCAGCACGTTCACTACACCTCAGCGCTGGCATCGTATTATGTGGACTTCTCGGTCTACGAAGTACAAGTTCATGAACGCCTACGAAAATGGTGTTTGCATCACGGACTCCCCCTGGACCAGATCCACGCACCCCTCATGGAGCACCTGCGCGGTCAATTTAAGCAACATTGGCAGTACGCCTCCACCCATCAGCTCCTTACCAAGCACCAGCTCAACATCCTGCATCGACACCTCGGCCAGGACTTTGTCTGCCACAACGAGGATCACGACAACCACCACCTTATGTTTTTCTGCCCTCAACTCTACTTCAAAGGCCTCCACAACACCTGGCTTCAGTCCGGCACATTTGCAGCTACCCCATTGAAGCCCGATCAATGTCGGGGCTCTTATTGTGGAAGCCATCCCGCGGCACCTGCAGAAGAAGTACAAATGGGCATACAGGAAGAAGACCACCTCCATCCCGGTTGGAAAAGTCTTTCTCAAACGCAAGAAGCAATGGAAATCGGGGCGGACCATTATAGCCTACCATAAGGTGGTACATCGGCAGCTCTTCAAAGCAGTCGCAATCCTTCTCGGCGAGATCGCAGCAGTTACCTGGAAATGTTCATGGGGGATACACCCCACGCCGAGGATATGGCAGAACGTTAAACAGTACTTCGACAACACAGACGATTCAGTCACCCTTGCCTTCCACAATGACGATTTGGTCGGCTTCTTCAACAGTGTACCTCAGGATCAAGCGTGTGCAGCAGTCGAGCAGCTATTAGCAGAGCACCAGCGAGGGCAACCCGGTCTTGTGTATTCAGTGGAAACCCAGGCAGCTGTTCACTACAATCGAGTGTTTGCCGGAAGGCAATCCTGCGGACGTACGCCGACCACGCGCGTCATTTACATGGAGGACATCCTGGGCATCGTCAAGTCCAGCTTCCAATGCATGTATGTCCAGGTTGGAACTCTCATCCTTCGCCAAGTCCACGGGACAGCGATTGGTTCTCAGCTGAGCCCAGTACTCAGCCACATATGCGTCGCGAGGCACGAAGTTCTCTGGCAGCGTATCTACGGACAATGGTTTGCCAGTCACAATATCTTTTTGGAGCGATATGTGGACAACAGATTTGTCATCTTCCCGTCTCCAGCCTCAGGTCACCCGGCGGCTCCATTGGAGGCTCTGCTTCAAGCTGACTTTTACGGCGCTCCCCTCGTGTTGGAACAGGTGGGGTCTTCGGAGTTCCTCGGCTTCGTCATCGACGTGGGCGACCGGGCGATTTACTACAAAACCCCAAGCAAAATCTGGCAGATAAGAGGACCCCACACTGCAGGAAGCCTCTCCACCCTTCTCTCCGGAGCCAGATCACGGTCAGCCCTCGCTACCAAGTATGCGCACCCAGCTAGAGCAGTACAGATGGCACTGGATCAACTCCGCAGTATTTACTTGTCCGCCGGCTACAAGTTAGCTGACCTGCAGCACCTGTTTCATCTTCCGGCGATCCCAACCAGAAAGAACCTTTAAGTGCCAGTTCGTCGCGGTTTCTTGATGTTTGGCATTGCGGCTCACCTCTGTCTTTTCGCTTTTTCTCCGGACCTGTTCTGGCTAGTCTTGGCTTTTGCGTTCGGGTGTGGTTCTTTTTGTTTTCTTTGGTCCCTGACTTTTGTGTCGATCACGGAGCTCATTCACTGGTTCAAAAAGTGTTGGCCTTCTCGCCGACATCGGAGAGTGGTCGCCATGCTCGGCCGCATGATAGCACTTCATCATCGCATGACCCAGAACGCTGCGGAAATGATGCAGCTCATCCAGGAGACCTTGAATCAAGCTGACGAGGCACACAACCGCCGGCACCATGACGGGCAAGGAAGCTTGCGGCAACAATATGTCCGAGGCCGGTCACTAGCAGAGTCATCGCAACCACGAACACTTGATCGTGCTGGAGTCGATGAGGTCAACCCACCTGGTCCGGTGATGCTGCGCTCGGTCATTTCGGAGACCCCGACCGAACCTGCACCGCACGTCGGCATCCAGTCACTCCAGCTACACGCAGACCACAGGCACAACCCGGCGGTCAATCCCAAGTCGTTGTCCTATGGCATCATCACGGAGGACCCCAACAACTCTATGGACCCGCGCTCGAAGAGTCCCATTGCATGATTATGTTGGTCAGCCGGGTGTCAAGAAGGCCAACATTCCCCGCTCCATCATGGACAAGAAAGGTACGGACCGACGTAGAACAAAGCGGAAGAGATGCCGAGCTACATCTTCCGAGCCTACGAATTCCCCGGAACCTCCGGCGCATCCAGCACCTCGCACTCCAGCCCCAACTCCGGTATCTCCTTGCGCTGGCCTGTTCTCCTCTCCTGAATCCCTTCCTGAACCCCCTGCTCATGCTCACTCCGATGCTGGCAACCCAGGGACTCCCCCGGAAGTACCTCGTGCTTGGACAGAAGAAGATGACCAGCAGCTTTGCAGCCTGAAGGGGGACAGCCGGTCCAAGTACTCGTACAAGTCGCTGGCCAAGAAGCTCAACCGGTCCATCGCGGATGTCACGCAGCGCTGGAAGAGTCTGGGGCGCCTCAGGAAGGTGATGGAACAGCATCAGAAGGCCACCTGAACGTAGTCAGTGGCGCCACATGTTAAAATGCCCGCAAGTAGGCGAGCACAGGCAGGAGTTAAAAAAGCGACCAAATCACCCATCGAGAATCATGATGGAGGCGGCTCTTGGGACTTCGAGTTCTCTCGCGTTTTCGGGTTCCGGGGGTTTGGTTTCTGTTTCTCCCCCTGCGGGGGGTGTATGTGTGGCCCCCCTGTTCCTAAGGGGTTCTGCGGTTCCGTTTTTTTTGGAGTCGGACGCCACCTTCATTCATGTCCTGACATGCAGTAGCCAGATTGGCCGTTGGCGTCCCTGAAGAGGAGGGCCAATCTCGGCGAACAATGTTCAGGCATGTGTGAAGCCGAAACTCCATTGCCCTGCCGGAGACCTTCAAACAGCCTGTGCCTGCATGGTGGTGCGCATTGTCAGTTTTGCCGTCTCATATCAAGTGTGTGTGTGTGTGTGCGCGTGTGAGTGTCTTTGAGTTGAGATATTCCAACCATTTTTGAGCTTTCAACATTCCAATGGAGAGTGTCTTGTGTACTGGGGGACCCGATTTTGTTTAGCAAGTTTTGTTCATGTGGGGCAATTTCATGCAACCTTTAACCATTCAAAGGGGGTGAAACATGCATTCTCATTCGGGTACGCCAAGGTGAAAAGTAGACGACACAACTTCTTAAAAGGGGACTACTAGACCCAAATGGGGGAATTGTGCCATTTATTTTCACTACTTTCATCCAATTGTCTGTGTCTTCATTCGGGCGATGGCAACCTTCCAGCCGCGGGCGGTTGGTTGGCCTGTCTCTCACATCAAGCTGGGCCAACGCCCCTGAAAACAGAAGCTCGACATGTTTGCTGTAGCCATCGGCTGACTTTTGGCTCTATGGTTGAGATGTTTATATACATAGGCTTCACTCTCCCAATAAAACCAGTAGAACCATCTACAAATGACAAATCGGTTTTGGGCGCTCATGGGGGTGCGGGGATCCATGGTTGATCTGCAGGTACTAACATGGCTTATGGGTTGGACATGCTTGTGCAAGCCTTACATTATAAACTCCATGAAGCCAGCCAGAACCATCTACAAAAACGGCCTTTGCGGGGTATCGGACGCTGTTCAGGTGTGGGCGTTCCGGAAACCCCGGCACCTTCTGAGTGACCAGTCGGGGTTTCCCCCCGCGAGCTAAACCAGCGCTTCCAGGCAAGCCACTTCAGCAGGCAGGGAAAACCATCCACGGTAAAACCTGTAGGTAGAAAAAGAATGAAGGGACATGGGCATGGGTCAAAGTTTAACCACCAGGGCACCACAGGTGTCTTAATCCTTGTTTCCATTTACGAGGAATGCATTTTTGGGCACCTATTTTGACCTCAACAGCCCATGACGGCCTGAAAAACCGCCTCACCTCCAGTGCCATTTCGACCCGCCCGCGGTTTTTTTCGGCAGAGCCACGCGCCCAAGAAGAGCAGCACCACCACGGAGGTGAGCGCGCCCCAGAGGTCGAAGCGCGCCTTCTGCGCCTCGAGCTGTGCGTCGCGTCGCGGCTCGAGTCGAGTCATTTCGGAGCCAAAAAGGCGCCGCTCTGAGGCGAGAAGGGGACAACCAGCCGTGTGTTTCCAAGGCTTCGTCGGGTTCTTGAGAGCTTGAAGGGAAAATTGGTTTCTTTGAGGGTAGGTGGAACTCATCTTAACTTGCTGGTGCTCAGGGAATCCTTGGCGGGGTGGTTTTTGTTCGGGCATTCGAACTCAAACATGTTCCGCCCAAGTGCTGGCGTGTTTTGTTGTTGTCTCCAAAGTTGATAGGTTTAGACACAACCTCAGCTTTTGACTTTGACTCGTGGGGGCAATCGGTCGAAATCAGGGGCTTCAATCTACAGGGATCCAAGAGGGCCAAATCATGGGTCTTGCTCAAAAGCGGGTGCCCTTTTTGCATGGCATTAAAAACACCTGTGTGGCTTCCACCCTGTTCATTTGAGGGGTTCCTAAAGGAACACCATTCTTGGGGTTGCAATTCCTAATTGAAGACACGCCCAAATGAGCATCTGAAACTTGTTGGGTTTGTGTCACGCTACGCGACGCTAAGTGCGCTTGAGGTCCGAATCCGATGGATCAGCTGGGTGTGTCTTCTTGGGTTATTTCACCATTTCTTGGGGTGGTGATTGTTGGGGAGAACACGAGTTGAACACCTTGAAGCCACTTTTAGGGGTCACAACCGCCGAGCTGAGGCTTGGCACGCAGAAGAGCTCCGGCTCCTCTCTGTCGCGGTGCCTCTGCTTGAAGATCCGCTCCTGAAGGCTCCGAACGTTCGGACAGAACTGGCCTTCCGATGTGCGGCCCCATCCCAAAGAAAACTCCAAAATCAAACACGCCCATCGACCATCAACCCCCTGAAACGGTCAAGGGCTTTGCGCCCGGAAGCCGAATCAAAACGACCAAACGACCCAGTTCGCCTGGGCACATTCCAAGTCAAGCCTTTTCGATGGCAAGACTCTGCCAGCAAGCAGGCCAGGCATGAAAAGATCTGGGCGTAGACGACCCAGCTGGCGCCCTGCAGGCCACCGGACCTTGAGGGCTCGTTTTTCCCGAGGAGACATTTGCAGCCAAAGTGCCTGGAACGTTCACTTGTCGGAACCTGGACTAAAATAGAAGGGGGAAAACAAAAGGTTGATTCAATTTGGACAAGTGCGAGGAACCCTAAAAAGCTTAAGGAACCCTTGGGATCTCCAGCAAGCCCGCTTGTTTCAGGGGGGTGGATAAATCGACACCCCCAGGCCTTCGGTTCCTGGCATTCATTGGGCCTTGGGGAAACCTCTGGCACCTGAGCAAGCAGCTGGCCATTCCCGAGCCAAGATGGGTCACAATCAAAACCCGGTACAAGAATGGTTCACCCAGAACCATGTAAAGAATTCAGAAGGCGGCCGCAGCTATTTATGGTTGCGATCGTCCCTTACTAACCTTCATTGATTGTGACTCAGATGAGTTTCTGGGGAATGTAAACCGAACCCCCGCTGTGAGTTTTGGGAGGCCGGTACCCTTTTCAGCTTGGCTTGAAGGTATGCCGACAGGAAAACCATCCAACGACTGCATCTTCCCATGTCCAAATCGTCGTTGGAGGTGACGCAGGAACAGGATGACCACACATTGTCGGTGGGAGGGGTCCCAATTTGTATTTTTGACATATACCGAAGTGAGTAAGCACAATTACCTTTCCTGAGTGGATTGGTCAGAAAAGTCCCTGGACTTTTGCTTGCCACCTCCCCCCCTTTCCAATAACATGAAATCCTCCTAAGTCCAAAGGTTTCCGTGGAAGAAAGTTGTCTTCCGGAATCCCTCAGCCAGATCTCAACGCAGGGATAATAAACCTTATCAGAGCTGTGCTGAACAATATGCCAAGCAAGGCCGCAACAGTCGGGGCAGGGGCTGGGGGCTGGTAGTGGTAGTCCCTGACTGACTTCGGCCAACCCACGTCAACATAGCTGTCTAACGGCACCCTTAGCCCCTGGAAAGGGCAAAGGATAGGGCATCTTCCTTACACATCTGAATCTGGGCTAGGAAATTGGAACCTTAGACGAGTGCAGAAGATGGTTTTGTCTCCAATTGGGACATGTCAAATAAACGACTTCCCTTTCAATCAGCCATTGGAGACAAGCCCGCGTCACAGAAACACTTCCTGCTCCTGGGATTCCAAGCTAAAAGCCGGAACATGTCCTTCGACAGAGAAAAGAAGAAACTCCAAACGAACCCGATGGTATATCCGAGTTCAATCTTGCTGGGCCTTCTTCGCAATCTGTCCAAGGTTCTGACCAACTACGTTCAAAGCTTGGATTTGAAGGAGACCCCCAAAAGAAACATGCAGAACAAAAAACATCCATCTGTTTGGCATTGGCAGGGCTGGCCATCGGGCGTGGAGTCATTCCGCACCCGTCTCCAAGGCTCAGGCAGGCCAATGACGCGGCTCCGCAACTCACAGAAAGTGAGGGAGCTAAAGGTCAACAGCGCCTTCGGCTCAAAACGCTGTCCAAAGGTCCCCAGGAAAAACCCAAACATGCCCATGTTTTTTTCGATTAACAACCAATTGAAAACCCAAAGGGAATGGTTGGTTAACTACCTACTGTAGTGGCGAAACACTGGGCTGAGTGGACATGGCCTGAAGAATCCCTTGCAAAGAAAGGGACTTTGACTTGGCCGTTAGGCGGTCCTTCTTGGAAACGCTATCAACGAGACCTCTTTCCAATAACTACAATCATGAACGTAAGGTTCGAAAAGGGCACCATCTATTTGCTTTATTTTGAGCATGGCCCTTACAAAACTCCGGCCGAAAGTCGAAGCTCGACATATTTTCCGGCCTGTTTCTTCCGCCTATGAGACAGTGAGACCCACACACACACACACACACACACACACACACACACACACACACACACACAAAATCACCCTGCCAAAGGTGATGCTTTCTGGGTATGCTCCTCTAAAGGTGCCCTTGTTCAACACCAACAATGGTCACTTCCAGGAAATGCAGTGGCCTTGGAAATAAAAGCGCCATTTTATGATCGTTGATTTTACATGGAAACCCTCCTGAACCAACATGGAGGAGAAATCGTGGAGGCCAAGGACCTGAATGGACCGTGTATTCCCCGTTCCCCAAAAGCACTACTTTCAGACACCTTACACATCGTCCCCCAAAGACCCCCCGCAACCTGTCAGGCATTCCTTAACCAAACATGGTCATTTCAATGGAAAACATGGTCATTTCAATGGACCCAGTAGTGTTGAGCCCCGATTGCTCAACCTGGATTCATCAAGGGCGTGCTGCCCCAAAACAAAGATGTGGATCCCCTCGAAACTGGGACATTCAGCGATACAAAACATCCAGAGGTTGACAAATCCTGAGATCCCTTGAAAGGAAACCCACAAGGATCCGACACTTGTGGGGGTATCCCTTCGAAGAACAAATCTGGTGCTGAGATCGAGCCCGTGGACCAAAACAATGATGAGCGGCCATGTTTGAGCGAGCCAAGCAGCTAAGGCGTGCAGTTCAAGCCAGCCATAAGCACCTTGGCGAAGTAAGGGCTATCAAACAAACACTTAAAGCGATCGGCTGCGGCTACGCCTGGTAAATGGCAAGTACCCCTTCCCCTTGTTATACGAGCCCTGTGGGATGCTAAGCACTTACCCGAAGCGGCAGCATCGTCTTGAGTCATCTATGCACCGCTGCGATGGTTCTCTCTCCAGTCCTCCGGGCTAAGTCATGACCTTGTTGCGCCCGAAATCTTCGTTGGAGGTGTCAAAGCCCGAGTGGGCTGCCTGATTGGAACGCGTTTTTGCTTCAACGTGATGTTGCCAGGTAGCTACAACTCAAATGGGCAACATTGGGTTGCAAGTTGGTCCTGCAAAATGAGCTGTCGCCATGGCCAGCTGGAAAAGGGCAGCCCAAGGCAGGCTGTTTAACACATTTCAACATGCTCAAAGCAGGGGCCTTGGTCCACACAATGCCTTCTTTCGACAATCCTGCTTTTAAGAAAGCACCAACAGTCTCGGTGCTCGGTCGGAAACATACATCGGGAAAGGATGAGGACTTATGCAGCTGGAACTATTCTTCGCCCTTCTGCAAGCCGCGAGAAATCACAGGCTGAATGCAACAGGTGACCCCTGAACAACACCAATGTCAAATCTCGTGGTTCTCCTGTGAGAAAGCAATGACTTAAGGGAGGTGCAAGGAACTTTTTGGCCACAGGAACTGCTGAATGACATAAGTTTACCATTGCCAGACTTGGTTTTCCTGTTTGCCCTTCTGGTGTGCCAAACATGGGCATCACTTGCTTGTCCGCTGTTTTTCCTTTTTGAGTTTCCTGCATTTCCCCTTCAACCAGCTAGCTGTTTGCACGGATCATCCAGATGCGGGAAGCAAAACAGTTACGTTGTTTTTTGCAAGTCTAGATCTAGTCATCTTGCCAGATTAGGTTTGAAAAATATGAACCCCCACCAGACTTGGTGGCAAGTACTTCCGAAACCAAGGGCTTGCTCGGTTTAACAGGGGGTTTATGAGGCCATAGTACCCAGTTGTCCAAAGGCCCTGGTACAAATGGCAAGGAACCATTCTTGGCGTTGCCTGTTTAGTTCTGGATTCCGAACAAGAAGGGAAAAAGGGTACTGAAGAACTGGCTGATCGGTCAACCCGAATCCTACGACTTCGCTGGGCCGGGCTCCGATCCAACGCATCCAAGCCACGCCGAAACATCCAGCGGCTCACCTCGGCTCCCCAAATCAAACAGTTGGCGGGGCTGTTCGGGGGGCAAGAGGGAAATCCCAGCTGGTCAATGCAAGTCCCATCATGTAAAGCTGTCACCTATGCAACCAAATGAGCCCCAGCTGTACTTTACCAATCTCAAAGTGGGGCGTCTCTGAAAACAAGATCGCATTAGGAACCAACGCCGTGTCACCGGTCACTTTAAGAAGTGCAGAACAGGTGGGTGTCTTCACACCCCTGCCCAAACAAGTGGCTTGCCTTTGTTTCCCCCAAGCTAGACTTTATGAATTCCCCAAACGGATTCCCTCCACCTTTGCAAAAAAAAGACACGGACCCTGCCACAAACAGTGATCAGCTCCTTTTGGTTTTCCTTCAACCACCACTCAGGAAAATTGGCAAGTAAGTTGCTTGGAGGCGTGGAGGTCATATCTCACGCAAAGGGGATTACACTACGGCAGTATAAAACCCTTGTAGAAGCGGTATGCCAGTAGAGCCAGCGAAGCCGATGGGCGGAAGTTCCAAAAGATATAAGTCTATAGTTCTTTGCGTCTTCCCATTGCTCTTGCGGTTTGTTGCCCTTTCAAGCATGTTGGAGGCAAACAAAACGATGCAGCAACGCCCGGCGGCCTGCAGCGGCACACGAACCTTTGAAGGAGTCTCCCCAAAAGTAAACACTCATCTTGGCAGGTCAAACCCATCATGCCAGTCGGCGATTGCCATTTTTTTTGGGGAGACTCTCTACAAAGGCTCGTGGACGGGGACGCGACCAAGGAATGCCACGTGTCTTGGAAGGCCCCTGTACTCTGACACAGGGTCCGTCAAACCCATCATGCTAGAGTGAGCGACTACCAAAATGAGCTTTGACTTCAAGGAGACATCTTGGAAGCCCCCCCAATAATTTGACACAGGGACGGTCAAACCCACAACGCAACTAAGAGTGACTTTAAGAGTGAGTAGGCTGGCAATTGCCAACATATCGAATTGTGTTGAGGTCGGCTCGGTCCCTCTCCGAACCCCACCCCAAAGTCAACATTCAGTTTGGCTCCAATCGTCTCGGTTGTTGGCCCATGCCGACTCGCTAACCAACCGTCGAATTCATCGTGCCAGGTCGCAAAGGCGCTCATGGGCATGTAGAGCGAGTTCCTTGGACCGGTCGGCGGTCTCCCCTCGACGTCTCTCGTTCCAGTCTGGAGTCCGGTGGTGGTGGGCCTTGCCTAGGATGGGAAACCCGGAAAGAAGCCCAGTACGAAGAGATTCCTATCTTGGGACATCCCCAGAAACGGTGGTAGCTTGCATGCATAATTACCAACATGAAACTCACCTCTGGCCCAAAGGTGATGACAAAGAATGAAAGCAACATGGGACCATAGCGAAACTTAAGACTGGGAACGCATGTCTGCGTAATATGTGTTTGATATTTGGACAAGATTTGATGTTTGAACCCCGAATGGCAGCCAAATGGCAACCGAAAGGAGCTGGATGATTTTGAGGTGCCCCCGAACGGGTGCGTGTAAATGTGGAGGGGACCCTGTTCAGGTTGGCTTTAAAGGGAAATCAAAAAACAACATTTTGGTGGTCTGAATCTCTATTTTGACAGACATACCCATACCATATCGGAATCCCTCAGTTCAGGGTGTTGTTTTGATTGCTCCATGTGCAGGCATAAACCATGAATCAGTTTCCCTCGGAACCTGAACCATGGGTTAAGTCGAATTCGCCCAGACCCCCCCCCCTCCCCGCGTTTCTCTCGGTTTCGGGGGCCCCCCGAGACGGGAAACACCGAGTGGCAGGGACACCGCGGTGGCCGCGCCCACGCCCAGCGAGATGGCGTGCGCGAAGCAGGCGCTGCTCAGAGCAAAGAGTACCGCGGTGGGTAAGCAGTGAAAGAGCCTCAGGCGACGGGTCCATTTTGCTGTTCCAAGAAACCTATCTGAAGAAACTCCTCCAGAAAAGTAGCCAAATACCCACAACCGGGGGGATGGCGAACTTCCTGGACATTGTTTCCTGGAGATGGTTTCTTGGATGTCCGTTTCGCCTTGGAACATCTCCTGGGAAAGTTGACTAGGAAAAACCTGTTCGGTCTACGTGTTGTTCTTCTTCCTTTCTCTTTTTTTTGGGGGCTCTTACGGCGACATCACGTGGCGACATCACCAAGAGAAGCGTATTGGACCACCTTCAAACTTATAAGGATCTCGCCCCTATGAGTTTCATAACTTGCAAGCCTATCACAATTGGTCAAACCTAGATTCATCAATTGTGCGGCCATTGCCGCATGGCAACAAGTTTGACTTCGTGCCGTGTGGTAGAAACATACTTTTTGTCAAAAGATAAAGTCTAAAGGCTCAAACAGATTTCAAAATCAGGTCCACTTTTGGTTTGCCTTGGGGTCATAAAACTATCTGGGGAGCTTGAAAGCACAAGGTTTCCTCGAAAGACAAGAACCACGCATGCGGCTCCCCCGGTACCAGTATATTGGGATCGTCCCAGCTGGAATCTGGCGCCCTTTTACTACCCCTGTTTTCCCGGGGTGTCATCCCGGGCTTAAACTAGGCAAAATGAGGTAGAGCGCTCAGCAAGGCACACCCCGTAGCCTTGCAGCTATGGGGCTCTGCAGAGAAGGTGTCAGCTAGGCCTCGGAAGCCTTGGTACCTGGGCCGAAGGGCTCAAGATGCCAATGCAAAAGTGACCTGTAGGAATCAAGGCCAGCTGCTCCCGTTGGCACTGGCTAAGTAGAAACAAGGGGAAACCAACAAGCACCCCGTCATGACGGTTTTGAGTTTTGCGGGTCGAACACCAAAAGTGCTGTCCAAAAGCTTTGGTTGGGAGGGGGGGGTCCCTGCAAAGAAAACCGTTGACCTTTGCTTTGAGTTCGGTATCTTGGGAGTGGCTCGAACAACCCTGACCAACATTCAAACTGGCAATGCAAAAGGTCGATTTGGTTGCAAGCGAGGACATACTTGTCGACGCGAAGGATAATGTGTGTGTGTGTGCAGGGAGGTGATGAGTGAAGGCCCCGCGAAACAAAATGGGGGGAGGCAATGAAAGGAACTAGAAACAAACTAGGGGGCAGATTCGGTCCTCTTAGGTCCTCTTCGGTCTGGTCCGGTTCGGTCCTCTCTGCTTTGACTAAGTGGTAGCTTGGAACCAAACCGAAAGAACCAAACAACTGGGCGTCTTTCTTTTGGGGGACTTGCTTTCCACTACAACCACAGGAAACGGGGTACCCTAAAAAAGACACACCCAACACCCAACTGGAACCCTGGAACCCCTGAGACCGATGGCAAGTCCCGGCCTCCAGACCGCTAGAAGACACAGCAGCACCGACAAAAGGTCCTCCGGTAGAATAGTCGGGTTGCAAAAAGCTTTGGTCCAATTCACTCATGTCCTGAGTGGATTGGTCAGAAAGTGAACGGATTGGATTGGCTGCTTGCCGCTAGAATTTGAAATGTTCCGAAAAGTTTAAAGTCCATTCATTGACTGCAAAAAGTAAGATACACTTGAAGGACGCTAAGCACTGGTTGCGAACTGATCTAACAAATCTAGTGTTTCCACTTGAGGAGTTGGTATTCAGCACCCAGCGCATGGTTTCCGCCCCAAAGAGAACGCGACCAGTTGGACCAATCGCTGACGGATTTGGACCGGGTAAGAAGCCGTCGTTCGCCGCCGGTTGCCTTGTTGGTTTTAGGACGACTGACTACTGGTGCTGCTTATTGCCCAAGCGGCATATGCCCACCAAAACGCATGTCTAAGCAGGTTTAGATAGACCACATACTTGGAAAACATTAAAAAAAAGAGAAACAAACAAAACACACGCGTTTTTCAGCCAACGCCATGACATAAAACGGCTAGATGGGGTAAAAGGCAAACAAACAAATTTCAGCTGATCATTCCTCAATCGCCGCTATTTTGGGTGGCCCGTAAGAAGTTCTGACAAATACATGGATTTGAATAGGATTAGAATCGGTTGAGGCTCCCCTGACTATTGCAATGGCTGATGACAGAAGGACTATGATCAGGTTGGGCCTTGCATTTGCAACTCAAGCTGCTTCCGCGTGTCTTGCACCTTCGTCCAGTCAACTCCTCCAACTGAAGGTTTTGCCAGACCTTCAAGCCAAGACTGCGTCCTCCTTTCTTTTAGGGCGAAGCCCCGGGATGACGGACACGTAGGTTTTTGGTTTGCAAGCGGCTTTGAGACTCGTCAGCCCACTGGGCTCCAGTGCCCATAGCGCAGACCCACCCATAGCCAAAGGAAGGAAAGAAGGGAAATCAGCCTTTTGCGGCGACCCGTCATTTTTTGAGACCAACTGGCCTTTCTCCAGGATCAACGTGTCTGCAAGTTCTGGGCTCGCGAATCCTGTTTAGTGAGTCCATTTACCTGTTTTGTAGGTAACCAAAGGAAACCTTTACTACCCAACCCTAAATGGCCAACTACCTACTATGGAAACTGGGAATTCACTGGGGAGGTTTACAAGCTGATGATCAACAGTGCCAACCATCGTGGCACCCGCGATATGGGAGTTTTGTTAGGGGACTCAAAATGTGTGTATTCTCCCTTTTGGTTGCGACTGTAAAACACAACTGGTAAGTCGAACTCTCACAAAACCAAAAGTCACAAAACTCAACAATCAACTCCCAGTGCTTGCCTCTATAGTAGGTAAACTGGGCTTCTTGTCTCTAGGTGTTACCATGGATGTTTTCCCGGGTTACCTACTATATCCTACTATAGTTGCAACTGGAAGGACTGGGACGCGGCAAGTCTGGGGTCAACGTTTTGCCAGTTTGTTCCTGGTAGAGGATGACGGACTGCGCGATGATGGGGTCCGGACTCATGGCTCGGACCTAAACCCGGACGGTTTTTGTTGAAATCCGGACGCTGGGGTTTGGGTTGGAGGAGTTTGGGGGATAAAACAGGCGTACAGGGCGGGTTGACAATTTGTTGGGTTGACCTTGTTATGGGGAGTCAATTGCGTTCTTAGTGGGGAACCAAATGAACATTTATCTAGAGGGTGGAATCCGCTAAGTGCCCTCACGACCACACAAGTTTGGGGTCTGTCTTTTTCTGAGCGTGTTGAAAGTTCTTAAAAGCGCCAGGGTACCCTCAAAAAGGACAGACCCACATGTGATTGAGTATCGAGTGCAATTCGAAGCTTCACCATCAAGCTCACAAACTGCCCGTAGCGGTGAACCAAAAAGGGCACTTCGTGTTCCATTTGACGTGGCGGAAGACGCTGGATCACGCTAATGTCAACTTCGGACCTATCAATAAAAAAGACGGTACCAAGAGGGGTGGCGTGAACATATTGGGGACTTCGTGAACTTAACTCTGATTTGCACGGTCCTCCGGATGGATGCGAGGTTGACATTGCCAGAGGGGGCAAAAGGCAAGTCGTACCAGTACAAAACTCGAGTATGTCAGCAACAAGCTTTGTTCTTTGCCCCCACCCAACAGAACCAAGACAAGACTAAGCATATGCGTAAGCCTCCAAAGAAAAGTCAAACCCCACACTGTCAAGAAAGCAAAGCTGACATGCACACCAAGAAGAGCGGAGAACACCACGCTCTTCCAAAGAAGAGGAACCACAACCGGCGGGTCACAGGTGGAACCAAACGCTGGCGTACTTGGCCAAACATAATCAGCAATCTAGTCACCAAACCGTGAAGAATTCCTGGTACCAGAACCAACAACTGATTATTCTCTTCTCCGTAATCCCAGGTGCTGTCCAAAACGCAGATATTGGTGCTGTGGAGGTCTTGTTTTTTACTTGCCCGAATGTATTGAATGGCACATCAGCAAGGGTTACCAGGCGTATATCTTTCCCCAGACCTAAAGCCAGGAGTTCGCCTTTAATCAACTCCAGGGTTCAAGTCTACCTTTAGGTAATACACTAATGAAAGAACCCAGAGGCTTCTACACGTTAGCGGGCCTTGAACTTGACTAACGGAAATCCCGGGCTTGTGGCTGCCGGGATTTGATGTTTTCGCTGCAATAAGTGTTGTAATGATATAATGGGCTACATCATTACGCGCCTTACTCTCGTATGATGATGACATAATTTGGCTTCAAAGTCCGCCATGACCCTATTTATTATAGGCTCTAGCACGAACCCCGGTTGCCTTTTCCACTGAAATGACCAGCCTCCCTGCAAAAGGGTTTCTACAATAGCTGGGGCAAGGCTGGGGCTAACTTCTCCCTTCTTTTTTTGCCCAAAACGACACCCCGGGAAACATGCCGTTTCAGGAATCAGCCCCTAGACCATTGGAAAAGTCAAGCCCTACAAACAAAACACGCCCGGACCATCGGCCCTGGCCATCGAACAGGGACCCCTTTTGAAGCTGCTGATGTCCTTCGTTGAGGCGGAAGGTAGTCGTCGTGCTTTGTTGCTTCACCGGGAAACCACAGTGACACAGGGAAACCAAGAGAAACCACAGGAAAACCAAAGGAAAACCCAGGGAAACCAAGGGAAAACCACTGATTTTGGAGGTTGCCTCACAAAAAGACCAACCCACTGTCAGGTGTGTGATTGAAGGTGCGGAGGTATAACACATTCTGTAAAAGGGCCTGTTCGGGCAAACCAAAGCAACGCCACATGTGGCAACAAGAAAGCCACAAGCAAGCTCCACAATTTCGGGGGGAACCCTTTGGATCCAATAGGAAACACATCATTTGAGATATCAAAGAAGACGCCCGGAACAAAACCGACCAATTGTCAGACGCCGCCTGCCCTTGAATAAAGAGGCGAGAGCCGCTGCTGACTGAGCCAAACTGATGATCATGAACATATATGTTCATGTTGTTCCCTGCCTTAGTATACCCAACACTGAAAAGCGTCGTTTTGCTCAGACCGCATTTCGGGAGAATCTCAAAACAGTTGCTGGAGGTTGATGTCATCTAGATCACCATTTGAAGGGTCAATTTTGAAGTCACCGTTCAGCATTTAGCCTAGGAGTTAAAACTACCATCATCTTCTTGGTCGAAAATGTAAGAAACTCAGCTAGAGCTTTTTGGGCTACGGCCCTCAAACAATTCAGCGACATGAACATTATGTCCAGCCATTTCCAGAGGGTTTTCTGCCAAACCTCAGCCGGGCGGATGGGCCAAGCTTCTTTCTTTTGGTTTGTCCAGGCCAGGGTCCAGATGCGCGCCCAAAACCCGCCCAAAACCCATCGACTGCTGGTACTAAGATGGTTGCAAAGGGCTTTTCAGGCTTCACTGTTCTCCAAACATAAAGCCGGGAGCTTCGCAGAACCTGGTACAGTGACCAACGGCAATCGCTGCGCGCTACGTCTAAACCCCTTGCGACACGGTGCCTTTCGGTTCTTTCAAACCGCCCCAAACCGCCCATCCCTGGACTTCGGCGCCCCAAAAAAACGGAAACCGCGCTCCGCGCTGGGCGCTGGGCAAACCAAAACGGGGACGCCGAGGGGCGTCCACAAAATACCTGGAGGAGTCCAGCAGCAGAAAGGCCGCGAAGAGCGCCAGCTGCATCCAGAGGGACAGCTGGCAGCACTTGGCTGCCAGCTGCGACAGCCTCGGTCGCCAGTGCTAGAGGACCTCCTTCAGCTAATCTATGAAGGGTATATTTCAAGACATGGAAGCTGGCAAAATTGCCAGCCAAAAGTATGAAGGCCACATTTGAAGTGTAACAAACAGCTTGTGGAATGACCTCCCCCTGACATTTCAAGACATGGAAGCTGGCAAAGTTGCCAGCCAAGAGTATGAAGGCCACAATTTGAAGTGTAACAAACAGCTTGTGGAATGACCTCCCCCTGACATTTCAAGACATGGAAGCTGGCAAAATTGCCAGCCAAAAGTATGAAGGCCACATTTGAAGTGTAACAAACAGCTTGTGGAATGACCTCCCCCTGACATTTCAAGACATGGAAGCTGGCAAAGTTGCCAGCCAAGAGTATGAAGGCCACAATTTGAAGTGTAACAAACAGCTTGTGGAATGACCTCCCCCTGACATTTCAAGACATGGAAGCTGGCAAAATTGCCAGCCAAAAGTATGAAGGCCACATTTGAAGTGTAACAAACAGCTTGTGGAATGACCTCCCCCTGACATTTCAAGACATGGAAGCTGGCAAAGTTGCCAGCCAAGAGTATATTTGAAGTGTAACAAACAGCTTGTGGAATGACCTCCCCCTGACATTTCAAGACATGGAAGCTGGCAAAGTTGCCAGCCAAAAGTATGAAGGCTACAATTTGAAGTGTAACAAACAGCTTGTGGAATGACCTCCCCCTGACATTTCAAGACATGGAAGCTGGCAAAGTTGCCAGCCAAAAGTATGAAAGCTACATTTGAAGTGTAACAAACAGCTTGTGGAATGACCTCCCCCTGACATTTCAAGACATGGAAGCTGGCAAAGTTGCCAGCCAAAAGTATGAAGGCTACAATTTGAAGTGTAACAAACAGCTTGTGGAATGACCTCCCCCTGACATTTCAAGACATGGAAGCTGGCAAAGTTGCCAGCCAAGAGTATGAAGGCTACAATTTGAAGTGTAACAAACAGCTTGTGGAATGACCTCCCCCTGACATTTCAAGACATGGAAGCTGGCAAAGTTGCCAGCCAATGAAGGCTACAATTTGAAGTGTAACAAACAGCTTGTGGAATGACCTGACATTTCAAGACATGGAAGCTGGCTGCCAGCCAAGAGTCCCCCTGACATTTGACAAGACATGGAAGCTGGCAAAGTTGCCAGCCAAAAGTATGAAAGCTACATTTGAAGTGTAACAAACAGCTTGTGGAATGACCTCCCCCTGACATTTCAAGACATGGAAGCTGGCAAAGTTGCCAGCGAAAAGTATGAAGGCTACAATTTGAAGTGTAAAAAACAGCTTGTGGAATGACCTCCCCCTGACATTTCAAGACATGGAAGCTGGCAAAGTTGCCAGCCAAGAGTATGAAGGCTACATTTGAAGTGTAACAAACAGCTTGTGGAATGACCTCCCCCTGACATTTCAAGACATGGAAGCTGGCAAAGTTGCCAGCCAAAAGTATGAAGGCTACAAATTGAAGTGTAACAAACAGCTTGTGGAATGACCTCCCCCTGACATTTCAAGACATGGAAGCTGGCAAAGTTGCCAGCCAAAAGTATGAAGGCTACAATTTGAAGTGTAACAAACAGCTTGTGGAATGACCTCCCCCTGACATTTCAAGACATGGAAGCTGGCAAAGTTGCCAGCCAAAAGTATGAAGGCTACAATTTGAAGTGCAACAAACAGCTTGTGGAATGACCTCCCCCTGACATTTCAAGACATGGAAGCTGGCAAAGTTGCCAGCCAAAAGTATGAAGGCTACAATTTGAAGTGTAACAAACAGCTTGTGGAATGACCTCCCCCTGACATTTCAAGACATGGAAGCTGGCAAAGTTGCCAGCCAAGAGTATGAAGGCTACATTTGAAGTGTAACAAACAGCTTGTGGAATGACCTCCCCCTGACATTTCAAGACATGGAAGCTGGCAAAGTTGCCAGCCAAAAGTATGAAGGCTACAATTTGAAGTGTAACAAACAGCTTGTGGAATGACCTCCCCCTGACATTTCAAGACATGGAAGCTGGCAAAGTTGCCAGCCAAAAGTATGAAGGCTACAATTTGAAGTGTAACAAACAGCTTGTGGAATGACCTCCCCCTGACACTTCAAGACATGGAAGCTGGCAAAGTTGCCAGCCAAAAGTATGAAGGCTACATTTGAAGTGTAACAAACAGCTTGTGGAATGACCTCCCCCTGACATTTCAAGACATGGAAGCTGGCAAAATTGCCAGCCAAAAGTACGAAGGCTACATTTGAAGTGTAACAAACAGCTTGTGGAATGACCTCCCCCTGACATTTCAAGACATGGAAGCTGGCAAAATTGCCAGCCAAAAGTATGAAGGCTACATTTGAAGTGTAACAAACAGCTTGTGGAATGACCTCCCCCTGACATTTCAAGACATGGAAGCTGGCAAAATTGCCAGCCAAAAGTATGAAGGCTACATTTGAAGTGTAACAAACAGCTTGTGGAATGACCTCCCCCTGACATTTCAAGACATGGAAGCTGGCAAAATTGCCAGCCAAGAGTATGAAGGCTACATTTGAAGTGTAACAAACAGCTTGTGGAATGACCTCCCCCTGACATTTCAAGACATGGAAGCTGGCAAAATTGCCAGCCAAGAGTATGAAGGCTACAATTGAAGTGTAACAAACAGCTTGTGGAATGACCTCCCCCTGACATTTCAAGACATGGAAGCTGGCAAAATTGCCAGCCAAGAGTATGAAGGCTACATTTGAAGTGTAACAAACAGCTTGTGGAATGACCTCCCCCTGACATTTCAAGACATGGAAGCTGGCAAAATTGCCAGCCAAAAGTATGAAGGCTACATTTGAAGTGTAACCAACAGCTTGTGGAATGACCTCCCCCTGACATTTCAAGACATGGAAGCTGGCAAAATTGCCAGCCAAAAGTATGAAAGCTACATTTGAAGTGTAAACAAACAGCTTGTGGAATGACCTCCCCCTGACATTTCAAGACATGGAAGCTGGCAAAACTACCAGCCGAATGATTCCTATGGATTCCCTCCGGTACAAGCACGCAGCGCAGCTAGTACCGAAAGCTCCGCTTGGATTCATGTTGGGTAATGCGGTCAGGTTTTGAGACCCCCAACCTAACGAAACAGGGAGTCCAATGGAGGGGACATCTGCCATTGGAAGGTAGGAGCTGGGCACCATACTCTAAGGCTCGTATTCCAACCAAGGTATTCGGGTATTCAATTATGTTTGGGCATGGGAGACTCCTGAAGAACTAAGGTCAGATATGGACGAGGGAAGGCGGGGAAAGGGCGACAAAGGGAGGGAGGTCATGCAAAACAAACCTAAGACATCCTAAGACAATGTAGTTGCCCGTGTCCAACCAACAAATGCGAAATCCTTCAGGTACCACAAAGTGCCTAAATGAAAATTGGAATAGGGTTGTGGGCTTTTAATAAAACCTAATTGAGTCGTGAGACTAAGACAATTAATAGTGTCTGTGTAATCATTTGGGTCTTATGATCTCTGCTTTGTGTTAGGGTTCATCTTTGGAAGAACCCGTTTTACCCTGAACGAGGATGAGCTCAGGATAAGCCGATCAGTCTTCCCCTCCCCGAGCCCCCAAAGGCTCCTTGCAAGGGGAAACCAATAACTCACGAGGGGATTGGCCAAATTCGCCATAACGAGTCCAGACGGTTTGTTTGACACTCAAAAGGTTCTGGCCCAAAGGTATAAAGTCTAGCAACTCAGTCAGTGAGAGAAGGAACCACTTAGTCTACTTGTAACCGGGTTGGTCTGCTTGGGGGACTCCTAAGGGGGGTGAAACCTAGGCCCAAACCCCTCCATGACCATGGGCAAAAACTGCTTATTTTCTTGGTAGTTGTGCACTGGAGTGCATCGTGCTTTTTTTTTTCCCGGAATCGACCCCAAAAAACATGGCGTCGGTGTTCTTTCATTGTCCCCAAACCAAACAAAAGGCACAGGGGTTTCCCTTCGAAGACGGCCCGTCCCGCTCCGCGGCCCTGAGGCCCCGGGCACGCCCATCGACTCCTCCGCCACTTCGGAGCCGGGCGCTGCAGCGGTGGACTCTGAGCCGGGCGCCGAGGGGATGGAGGCCTGGCGACGTCGAAACGCGAAACGCGGAGGCGGGCCACGCTTGGAGGTTCCAAGGTTAAGTGGACGAACAGACACAGTTTAAACAAAATCTCGCTCGAGGCTTTTAGCAAATGGCCAGCCAGAGACAAATGGCCAAGATCGCCGGGTAAGGGGGCACTACCTTTGGAAAAACAGCAAATCTCACTCAGTGAATAAACTGGATAGCAAAACAAGGGGCGACCCTGGCTATCAAGTTCCCACACAACCCAGTGGATCTCAGTTACCCTGAAAGTAGGCAACCAGCAACTGTCCCTTTGTAAAGGCTGGTTCCCTTGGTTAACTACCGTACAGGTAAATTGGATGCACTGGGTAAGGTTATAGCCAGGGACTTGTGCCAACCAAGCCCACTTAGTTGCGCTCCCTATACTCTCCCCTGACTCAGCACCAGAGGCAACCAACTATTTAAAAAACCCAAATAGCAAGTCTCCCGATTTCTTGAGCATGACTTGTGTTGTAAAAGCACTGGGACCCCTTTTTGGACGGAAGGCAAACCCCTCGCTTTACATCTCACTCCACCAAAGGTATACCCACTCAAAACAAATGAGATATAACAAGTAACCAACCTTCATCATGTCTAGGTGAACCATAATCATATGCCAAGGCAAAACTTGGCTGCCTTGCATTGCAGGAACCTTCCTGGGGTGCGGGCTCGCACACCTCCTGGTAGCCTGTGACTTTGTGAATGCCCAATAATATTACCAACAGACATGGATAGGACATGGACTGCCCAAAACCGACCCAACAACAAGCGAAGCTGGTAGGAAACGTACCCTGGAAGCATGCCTGTTGGTCATAAAATTCACTGAGACAGGTGCCGGGTGCGTTCAACTGGGTGTACCAGAACAGGAAGGTGGCCTCCCCAAATGGATGGTGTGGCTTTGGCTTCCCGTTCAACAAGACCAAAAAAGGGGTCCCTTAAAAACACAACTCAAATCTTCAGTAGGTTGAAAACCAAAACGGTCCAAACTTTTCTTGCCACTAAAATGCTCTTCCCCAAACTCATGGGTGTGTCTGTGGGAAACCCATAAAATGAAACCACCCATTTGGGGGGTCCCGTATTTATGAGACGGAACAGCACGTCCAGCTCCAACTCGTGTCGCCTTCTTGTCGGCCGGGGCAGACACGGTGCGCGCTCGCGAGGGCAGGGAGGCGAGCCCTGCCGAGGGGATGGTGACAAGAGACCAACTGGGCGTAGTGGAAATTTCGAATGTGATTCTTCGGTAAGTCCTGAGAAAATTGGAAAGTGATACACAAAGAAGAGTCATTTTAACATAAAAGAAGAGTTTGATAGTGAGAAAAGCACAGATAGACCAGTTTCTGAAAGACACCCAAGGATATTGAAGACAACCAGTGGTTTCCATCTGAGGGATTGGGGTCTCCCTAGTGTTTGATATTGGCGGTGGATGGCTTTGAAGGAAGCCAACCCCTTTCAGGGTCCACGTCATTTTGAGAAACATCCACAAAACCCCGCGTGTCTCTTGGGGGGCTGTCTGGTTGCTAGCAGCGCTTGATCGGCACAAACGATGATTCTGCAGGAATCCCCCGAGAAAAAAAAAAAAAAGTTGCTAGTTTGGCCCCACCAATTGTCAACTGGCCGCGTCCATAGTTCAGCATGGCCAGAGTGAGACGTGTCTCTACTGAATCGCACTGCCGCTCTGTGGGCTCGCTCATCGCGTAAAGTCATCGCTTCAGAGCTCAAAAAACTGAAAGGATGGGTCAAAAAATGGGGGGGGGGTTAACCATTGGAAGCTTGGGACCCCTGGGGAGATATGGCCATGTCATATGTGTCCCTTGTTCCCCGTGTGGCGAAGTTTATCTTGACTCAGTTGCCCAAAGGACCTAGAAGTAAAGGACGATCACCTTTTGCAACCTTGACAAAATGTTGACCCAATCACCAAACAAGTAAACACAAAGAAAAATCGTTTACCTTGACTATTGGAAACCAAAAGGTCAAACAAAAATTAGGTTGATTCGCTTTGGGCAAGTCTGTTGACCTCCTCCACGCAGAATTCCGAATTCCTGCCTTGGGCAAAAAGGGGCCGTGCGCGCTCGCTGGCGGCTTCTCCAACCTGTCGCAAAAGTGATAGGTAGGCAGCCATGTTCAAAGCTCTCTTGATTTTGAGTGCGTCTTCTTTTGGAGGTGCCCCCGTTTGGCTAATTTAACGGAAAACCACAGTTGTGTGGTTCCCCAAACAGAGACAAAGAAACATTTTGGGGGTTGTGGTAATTATTGGCTCACAAGGAATCTTTGTATGGCTTTTTGACCAACCCCCCACTCAAAGGGTGCATGACCATCCGTGTTGTTCTACTGTGGCACACATGTCACACCCAATGTGATGAGGACAAAATGCACCGAGCGACTGCAAGTTTCACGGATCTGCAATCAATCAAAGGATGAAGAGGATTCGGATGCTGTTCACTGGCACACTCACTCGTGCGCCATGGTCAAAACTTCGTATGCCGGCCATGGGGAAGATTCCTTGAATAGGAATCCTCATCACCGTTGTTTAAAACGCTGAGCAGTCCACGGTCCATGACAATCCGTACTAACCTCAAGTGATGGGGCGGTTTGACAATAGCAAGCATGCAGCACGGCGCCCATCTGAGGCAGCCACCATCGGATCCGGTACGGGCGACATCTTCAGCCACCGCTCGGAAAGTTAGATCAGGGGACTGATTTCAGTGGGCTGCAAAATCTGATAGCGGCTGTGTGTGTGTGTGTCACTCTGGTCATTGGCTGCTCTGCTTGGCATCATGGCCATTGGCTTTTTGTTGAGCCTCGCGGCTATTGGACGAGCGGAAGCTAAGTATCAAAGAACTCCCGTGCGCGCAGCCCAATGCAGCGATCTGTTCAGTGGGCTGTTCAAAATGGAGTGTTGACCAATCCTAATCCATACTTCTTCCAAGTGAAAACCACTATAGAGGGACTCCTTCGAAACCAAAGGTAAGGATTGAGGTTTTGCTGAGCAAACACACCGAGAAAGAACGGACCAAAGGGAGGCATCGGAGATCCGCCAAGGAAAGCAAGCTGCTAGGACCAAGTAGGCACCCCTAACTTAAAAAGGCTTGAGACATCTTGAGACTCATTTCCTGCTTGGGTGGTTGTTCAGCCCCAGGTCGAGTTCGGTCTGCAAGACCTTTTCTTAGCAAAACGGGCTCCATCCCCGTGACCACTCACTCTGAAAGCGATTCCCTTGGCGTTGCAGAGAGTGGGCTTAAAAAACGTGCTTTCAACAGCCATGGCAGATCTAGCTTGGTCTTTGACCCCCGAAACAAGCTAAGCGCAGTATTTGTGAGTGGGCGAATAGTCATTGTCAGAAAGCTTGAGAGTTGACTTCCAGTCGAACCAAAGATCGAGGCAAGCGATCTAACTAAACTATGCTAGGAGGTAAGGTAATTCCCGTGCTTTTCAATCGCCGGCTTTCTGTGCCCTGGGTTCAGAACAAAACAGCTACCACTCGGTTACCCATTTGCTAGGTAATGTACAGTCAAGCCCCTCTTAACCCCCCTTGTAAGTAGGGCTACCAACCCCCAGACCATCTAGCATGTCAAGCCCCTCTTGAAAATACGAGACAAAACAGTGCCCCAACCGAAGACATGGACCAGTACGGCCAAAACGTTGGTTTCCCGTCAGGACCAGTCCCTAGTCCAAGACCCGTAGCGAGTTTAAGAGGTCCTACTCCCAAAGGCCTCGCAGGTCTTGAGCTAGCGAGTCCTACCGTGGGTTATTGGAGTTTTTGTGGGAACACCGGCTCTGCCTGCTGCTCCTCTTGCACCTGGCAAACCATAGGAAAATCGGCTCGGCAAAGTCCAAACAATCCAAACGCCCACTCCCGGACTGCACAAAATCCAACAAATTGAGGGAGTGAAAGTCCAAACATCCAAGCTTCTTGTTCGCACATGTTGCACCCAAAACGGTATTGCCATACCGTGCCAAGACCTTCCTGTTTTTGGTGGGCGTGCTGTACAAGTCATGTTGTTTCACAACAAAAGCTTGCACTGTTCAACGAAATCTCTGCAAATGGACATGAAACTTCAATATTCAATGCTTCGAAAGGGAAAAATGCAGGGCCCCCGAGACCGTGAGACCCCTGCACTAGCCCTTTGAACCCATTCAAGGCGGGGTCTGATATGGAGAACACGGAGATCTCTCGAATGCTTGATCCTCGCAGGCTTGCCTCGTCTTAGACTATTAGAGCATGCGGTTCAACAATGCTAACCCACTGGTTTTTGGCTCAATCCAACTGTTGCTTCAAATCGCCCCGTGAAAATATTGATGGCACCATTCACAATCATAGGACCCGCAGCCTCAGGGCTGGCCTTAGGAAGGGTCGAAGGATCCTAGGAGTTCTGGTGGTATGCATAAGGAACGATCAAATTTGCATGGGAAGAACTAAGTGTCGGCTTGACTGGACGGTGTCAATTGTTCTATATTATGCATGCATAGTCATGGTGGAGTCCGTATTGTTGTTTGGAATGACATTTGATGACACCCAAGTTTTCTTGTACAATTTAGGCTGAGGTCCAGCAACAGCCTCCATATCCCTCCCTGCAATCTCCTGGTAAAGACTCACCCCTCGTAGAATCAAACTAGCCAATACTCAAATGCTTCTCTCGCTGACCCCACAAACCAGCAAGATGGCACTTCATCCTTAACTAGCTTCAACAACAATGCCCCATCTCCAATTTGTTTTGCCCAGCTACTTCTTGTTTGGGGCTGAGCTTACTCTTATGGTCCAGGGGGCTGGTGGTGGAACCATTGAAATGCGAAAAGCCAGTATCAAGCGGTCACAGAACCAGCACGACGCCAAGCTAAGCGCGGCGTCGTAAAAATACAACAAACATGCCAAACGAGCCAAGCCTTCAACCACTACCCATCATTTCTGCGCGTGCTTCTTGTTGAGAGAGTGCCCCTTTTCACCTTGGTCTCTAATGGGACGAAAACCAAACTCCATGTTGGAGGCCCCTGGATTCCCATTTTACGAGCATGCGGCAACTCTCGCGGTTCCCTTCGACCCTTTCCGCCTGAACCTCCAGCAGCTTAAGGCGCTCAGAATGGTCCTTGAGCAGATCTTTGTGCTCCTCCTGCACTGCTGCCTCGAGAAAACGGGGGAGAAGGCGTTGGCATGGTTCTTCTCTGGGTTCCTTCTACGTCCCCCTCAAAAGGGCCTCAATTCCTGAGTGGATTGGCCAAATATGGTGCCAAATCAAAACAAGTCTGATTAAACTTCTTGTTTCCCAAAACAAACGGATTGCCTGGATGGTTCTTCGTCCCACTCGGGGTCTCAGTTGACCGCTTCAAAATGTACAAACTCCAGGAACTCAGGTAGTGCAGGGTTTCCCAAAACACTAGCCCCAAATCACTATGGCCCACTCAAAACATGGCTCTGAATTCCCTGGCAGGGTAAAAACTTGCCCCTGGAAAGGGGGATACCAAGGGAAATCGTTCCTACCCTTGGATTGGTGATCAGTTCGAAAGGCTCAGAGCGCCCCTGCAACAAGTATCCCAAACGTCGCCCCCAAAACAAAATAGCTCAAAATGTCAATCAACGGGTGATGTTTTAATCAACAGATGCCGAAAACTTATCCGGAAGGCACATGTCTTCGGACATGCTCCAGTGGCGCTCGGTACACTCAAAGGCAAGGGATGTCCATTCTGAAAGGTGGCTGAAACGTAACAGAAAAACGATAATCCCGGAAGGGGTAATTCACCGATATCAAGAAAAGAGATGTCTGAATTTTGATCATTGATGCGTGCGTGGTTGGGTGCCTTCTGCTAAGTGGGACAGTCCTTGCACCCGACTGCCCCAAACAATCACTCAGGAGCCTCTGAGAGTTTCTAGAGGTTCTTGGCGGCCATCCCCCATGCCCCTGTTCGCTCGCTTGCTTTCAGAACAAATCCAGCAATACGTAGTGATAGAGTGCCTTCAAAGCCAGCAAAAAAATGAAACACATCCTGAAACGTACATTGAAAGACTTTTCTCCCTGCAACCTCCAGAAACCCCGAAAACATTTAAGGCCTGGGGGGGAGGGAGGGGACGCGGGAGGAAGCTCTTATTTGGGCTCCCTCCCCCTCCACTCCCCTCCTCCCAAGCCAAAAAAATAAAATAAAATAAAAAATGATAATTATAAACGGCGCCTTGTACTCCACCCGGGTCACGAAGTCCCGGTTCAGTGCCTCCGACAAGGGGGTCCACAGAGCAAGCCCTCTACAAAGAACCCCTCCACCACCCCCAAACCAACCCTTATGAAGAGTGAGGATATACAGCCACTATATCACCACTATACGGAGTGTATGTATAAATATATATATATATATGTATTAGAAATATACATATTTTTACATAAATCTATATGCGTTTACATGGAAACACGATTTTGGCTTGGGGGTAGTGGTTTGGGGTGGTGGAACCCTCTTGGACGCTCTTGAGGTGGGCATTGTGGATGTTCGACCTACTTTGGATGCTATCATGGTTCTATGAGGTTAATCCCAGTTATTTCAGCTGCAACCATGCTGAGTGCTAAAGGGATCTGGACCCAAAGCTATATGCATCCCTTTGGGTCTCCTTTAAGGGGAGATTTCACCGTGGGCAATTTTGCATACTTGCTGACGCGGGTTAAAACATCCAAGTAGGGAATGTGTTGCCCAGTCAGTTCGTTAACTTTGCAACCAAGGCTGTAACCCACGGAAAGTCCGCATGGCCAACTTGTGTGGGTTTCAACCCACCCATTCCTATCAGTTGACTATTCTAGGGAACTGGGTTTCATCTACTATAGTGGTAATTGGAAGCACTGGAATAGGTAAGAAACTGCCTTCTAACTCGGCCGTACAGCCAACCCGCTGCTTGTGGCAGCTGTTTCATTGGAAGAAAACCACGAGGGAATCCCGTGAATGAATGGGATTGCTGCTCAGGCAAAATTTCACATTTCGCAGTGGAACGTGAAATGAAGTCGGCTCCAAAAGATCCAACAACGTTCATCAAAACACCAGCGTCTGTTAAAAGCGCGGGGAAATCCTCATCCCTTGGCTGTTCCATCGACATAGCAAGTGGGTTGGTCCTGGCCAGTAGCCTTGAGTGAACCTCACGACTGGACAAGGGCGCCCTAAGGTTCATGGCGAACAATCCTC